AGTCTATAGGTCTCACCTTAAAAGATTCTGTTCTCAACTATGAAACACCGACACTTCAAAAACTCTGATGTGTCGTGTCCGACACTTCCCGACACTCTCGGACACTCCGACACTCTCCGACACTCCAACACGCGTTATAGAAATTCAAAAAAAGGTTCAAAGGTTAAGTTGCGTTGAGTTTTTAGTTCCAATTATTAGATTCGTTGGATTACAATTACTATTTTATTGAGTTATTGTTTAATATAAATATTTGAGATATCTTATGTTTCTTTGCAAAAAATTTGAATATTATAAGTTTTTTTTGTTAAATTATTGAATATTAAATATAATATATACTACATAAATTAAAAATATTATTTAATATCAAAACGAGTCCTAACGTGTCGAAATCTAACATTTTTTAAAATTAACGTGTCAGAATGTCGTGTCGTGTCGTGTCACGTGTCTCGTGTCAGTATCGGTGCTACCTAGGTTCTCAATGCATAGTTCACCGTCATGTGATGAAATAGTGCTTCACAGCGAGAAAAAGGTTTGGGCTAACTATTTTTGCCTCATTTTTTTTCTCCTTCTCTTTGTTAGAAAATATTCTCCCATTTATATAAACATTTATTTTCCTACAGATGAGATACATAGATTCATACAGTTTTACGAAGTGTTATTTTATCAGATTTTAAAGCCACCTTACTTACCAAACATCATTGGCATAAATGGTATGTAGTTTATATCCCTTAATTAAAGATATCGAATTCGAGTTATAGAAGTAAAAAAATAATATTGAAAGAGTCCTTCTCTATATAAGATCCGATAATGTTCAAACTGAATTAATCCGAAGGATAAACAGAAGACTAAAAAAGCCACCTTACTTAGCCTTTACACACCTCTCATTTGAGCTTTTAATTTTACATCTGCCTCGTTCAGCACTCACATATCAAAATACTACAAACTGAGCTCTTTTTCTAGTAACAGTTCAGGCTGCGTATTGGTAGGTGTTAAATTCGACCCACAATGTCAATTAACCAACACATGCTGAAGACTTTTATACTTTTGTTTTTATTTTTTTAAATTGCAGCGGCAGCATCTCCATCAATATTTTTATTCGTTTTATGATTTTATCACTCCGGCTCAATGTTATTAAATTCGGTCTGATTATTGATCCGGTCGAGGTATTAGGTCACTGATTCAATCAGTGGATCAATGGTTCAACCGCATAACCCGGTAAGTATATGTAAATCTACCATTTATATTAAAAAACTATAAATATACTTAAATACTTGTAAAAAAAATACCAATTTTAAATATTTTAATATGAAAATAATAAATTACACATCATTGTCCAACAAAAGATCAATCAAACATATAATATTTGTGATACACTAGTGTTTCAGTTTCAGTAAACGACATCTCTAACTATAAATCAAATCAAAATTTTCTGCATATTGCATAATCAAAATAATATTAGTGTTGTAGGTACATAATCTATGTAAGTTAATAAGTTACAAATCACTCAAATATTTTCAAAAGAAAACAAATCATTTGTGTTTGAGAGTAAAAAAAAAAAAAAGACATTAATTTATGAAAATAATTTTTTTTTTTTATAAACCGAGCCAGGTCACCGGTGGAACCGACCGGGTCACTGATTTTTACGAAAACCGATCGGATCGCACAGGGTCATACCGGTTCTGTAACATGACCGGTTCAATATGAAAATCGAACCGATTACATGATCAGTTCACCGGTTTCTGGATCGACCCAGCTGGATCGATCCGATTTTTATAAGATTGTTCCCGCTAGTCACCTTTTTCTTTGCACGGTTGAGGAATACTTGTATGCATAAAATTAAGGGATTCTTATAAATCCGTGCTAATAAGGATAAAATAAAGATAGGTACATGAAGAGTCCCAAATAATATTAGGCCTGCATGGGGAGGTTACGACGAGGGAGAAATCGTTAATTATGGGCCAAATAATGATATTAAATAGACTTGGAATATCATAATCAAATTCAAAATAAATTTTAATGCATCAGTGTATGGATCTTTTCACTTATATAATACTCACTTAGTTCATTCTTAACTAATGTGGACTTTTTCACTCAATCATTCATATTTGAATTTATCAACATCTTCTCCTCAACTATGAGTTTTAGGCCCACATTCTAATCCCTCTCAAAGAGAAGCTTCTTCGAGTATTTATAGGGTTCATCAATAATTGGCTTTTCATCAAACACAAACCAATCTACCATTAGCTCTGATATTAATTGTTGGGCCATGCAAATAGAGCTTATTGCCTAGAGAGACAATTAACTATTGAACAATTGAGCAATGACATTAGATGGAGTTGAAACATTACAATTAAATCCGAAATTTTAAGATATTAGGTAAATGAATCATTCCACTTATATGATGCTAACTTAATCTATTCTTAACCAATATAAACTTTGAAAAAATGTAAAGATAATGTTATAAGAAAATTATAGTAGCTACACAATAAAATCATAGGGACCATAAATTTTTTCTTTTCTTACCTCACTTTTTCTCTCTCCTTTATTTGGTCTCTATGAAATTTACCGCTTGCTTCCAGCAACATAATACAAACATAACCCATGAACTTTTCACTCAATTCCAACTGGATTGGATTCATCGAATAATAGTCCTGATGGTGGTACAATGCCAGACTCTCCCTACCAAAAGTGAAGGGGTAAGTGGTTGGTTGATTCCCTCACATCTGCAGCTGGAACTACGCATCGGCCAGCTTCCAATATCCGCAGGCAAAACAAGAAGTCACCACAAGGCACGGTGACTGTTGTCACGTCATAAATGCTCTTTTTAATATTTGTAGAAAAAATTATATATTTTATTTAATTAAATCAAATGATAATACCAAATTGAAATTGATATTAAAAAATAAAATATAAAATATAAAATAAATTATAATATAATTTCATTTAATAACTTAAATTTTTGTATTAAAAAAATTATTTATATGATACCAAGAGCCTCCATACTTAAATTATTTATCTTTTCATCCTACATTCTATTAATAAAAAATTAAATATTACATAAATTTCTTTTAGTAGGTAGGTTGAACTTATACATTATATATCCTTCAAGTCCAATTAATTATTGTATGAGAGGGTATAGTGAAGAAATATAATATAAAACAAGAGTTCACTTTTTCTGCAGTTATTGCAGATAAGTTATTTGCAGTAAGCCCAATACAACGTCGTTTTGGAGCAGAAATCATGGTGTTTTTGTAATTTTAATTTATTTCAGAGTTATAATAATCTTTATATTTATAATTTTTTAAGATTTCAATACCAAAACGACATCGTTTTGAGAATAAATACAAATAACTTATCTGCATTAACTGCAGAAATATTTTTCCCATAAAACAATTAATATAACCTTCACCTAACAAAACAAGTCTCATTTTGGTTAAAAATATGCAAAATGAGGATCATGTAAGTGAAAGACTGAAAGGAACTATAAATCTATTGTCTTGAGATTTTTTATTGAGATGTGATGTCAAGTCCGTTTATCATGTGGGGTGGCGCTTAGTGTATCTGATGATAATTTGCCCGTCATGAGCTCTTATGTTTCCTAACTCTATAATTTTTATATATGAAAAAGTGTATTAAAGAATTATAATATAATCTTACCGCTTGCCTTTTAGGTTTAAATAATTTATTAAAAAATAACCATTGTTTTAATCATATCCGCACATCATATTTATATTTCTTGATATTTAATTAGGGATTAATGTGTTTTATATTATAAGATAATTTTATCTCTTATGCACGTATAAAAAAGTGTGGGGCTATGTGAGGAGAAGAGAAAAACAAACAAACCTAACACACTTTTATATATGTGTAGGGCACAAACATGAAAAACATTAATTCTATTTAACGAATTTCAATTACGAAAGAAAAATCTTAAAGCTCGTGAAAGCTTAAAAGACAAGAAATAAAGAGCACCGGCACTGGGCCATTGGTACTAACTCCCCAGCCCAATGGTAAGGTGCATGGTGACTGACATTTTTATTGCATATTCGTTATAATTATTAGAATAATGAAATTTCTTAAGACTTGAATATTTGTTTTGGAAATATAGAATGAAAATAATTAAATTTTGAATTTGTCATGGTCAATACAACCTTAACTCATTCAATAAATCAATTGCGTTCAGATAAAGCTTTAACATTATTAATTTTCTCATAATCCTATTTTATGTCAAAGACGTGGCATTATTTTATTTTTAAGACATTTAATAAAATTTGTAAGACTTCTAAATATGCACTCTGAATATATACTTTAACGTAAATCAAATTAAAATTATAATAATAAAACATAAAAGAATTCTTATGCATCTTTTGACTAAATTCGCAATTGAGAACAAAATTACATTGTGAAATCATCTACCACAAACAATTTCATTCAAAATATTATAGGGATAAATGCCAAAAGAAAGTAACGGATATGTATGAACGGGGAGTTTCAAAAGGAGAAAGGAGACAAAAATATTGTATATTGCTTATGAAAATAAATACAAAGTCGGATCCCGTACCTGACTCCCCACAATTTTTTTCATAAATACAATGTAATTTTTTTGCCTCTGTAAGCAGTATCCTTTATTCTATCAAAAAATGATTAGAAAGCTTCATAATAAATTAATATTTTTAAAAATTTATTTTTAAAATTGTAATTCAAGGCATAAAAGTAATTTATTTTTAAAATAAAAAATCCTTTCATTCTCTTCTTTGGGCATCTCGAAACAATTAAAACACTTGCACACCCACAAAAAAAAAAAAAAAAAAAAAAAAAAAAAAAAAAAAAAAAAAATACTCTTCTACTCCAGTAACTCGACGAATGATGAAACTAGGCGATTTTCCGCCCAAACCTCGTGCATAAACAAATTCCCAATTAAGGTAAAATTACCTGAACAGCAGAGGAATGAGATGCATCACATTTAGGATAAACCAACCCATGTAGACAAGAGGATAGATGCAAATCAACAAGGTTCCCTTAGTCATAGATAAATAACACAGCTCGAACAAAAGCCAATCTTAGATGAAAGCCTAATTTAGAAGTCTTCGAATCTTAAGACTAAATTACGTCTAGCAACAAATTACAAGAGCAGAGCGAAAGCATGAAATAAGCAGATAAACATTGCTTCCTTGATCTCACAGGCATGCTTCAAAGGTGCTGTTGCTATTCTCTGCTTCATCAAGCATTTGCACAACCTGTGCAACGCCATCTTCAATTTCCTTCCGGATGACTCCATCAGGCATGTCAAATGTCCTTCTTTTGATGGAGAGTGATCTTACAGTAGGCTGGGGATCAACCACATCAAGCATTGCTTCCAGCTCATCCACCATTGACCTCTTCGCAGATCTTATCATCCGATCAGCTCCCTACAAAGCAGGAAATGAGCAAACCTATTAGATAAACTGATAAATGGTAATATTTTGTTTGTTTATGCGTTGGACAATTGTCAAATATTTTTCTTAACTTCCGGCTGGTATACAGTTCCTTTCTTTTCTTTTGGCTAGTTCGCCATGATTAAACAGCAAAATTCTAAATGTGCCCATTTTGTTTGTATCCTAACTGACTTGACTTTACAATAATTCTGTCTTTTCAGTCATATAATAGTACTCCAGAACTTACTTTGTGATGATTGATGTTCATCAGAATCATTGTTAAAAGTTTTCTAGAAATAAAGAGAATTTTCGCTACTAATTCCTGAACCAAGTACGGAACATGTAGCCAGGAAGCAGTATCCCGGATGTCTGGATTATGAATCTTCAAACTGGTCTGGACTAAATAAAAGTGCACTACGGGTTTACTATTAAATTAACATTCACGTGTTTGATGCTTAGCAATTCAAAAATGTCAGACAAAGCACAATCTATTCCACAAAGAGATGTTCAGAAAGGGGAGATCACTACCTCAATGGCATCAACAGTGAGGAGCACTACAATGATTTTCTCAGAAAACCTCTGGTGTTCCTCTGCATCACGAGCTATATGACGTCGGTAGGAAAAATTATTGAACTGAGCTCTGATTTCCTTCAACTTAGCTTTTGCGACAGCCAGTTCTCTGAGGGCACGAAGAGACTTTGACCTACGGATCAAATAAGCTTTAAAGCTGATCTGGATCAACAATGCAGCATCTTGAGGAGATAATTCCTTCTTCTTGCCTCTTTCATTTTGAATAGCTCCAAACCTCTTTGCAAATGCCTTACTCAACAAGGAAGTCAGAAAAAAATAGAACTCAGCATACTCAAATAGCTAGTATCCCATTGGCTGAAAATCCAACACTTACAGACATGTTTATTTAATTATACAGCACCATCTATTAGAAGAATATGTATCGAGGCCACAAAATTCATCCTTTGAAATTCAGTTTTAGACAAAAATCTCAGTCCGCTGACATGATAAGAAAAACAAATTAACAATGCATCTCCTCCTACCCCCAGCACATAAAGCAAGACACAATTTTCAACAATGACCAACCACTCACACTGTCAACAAAATGAAAAGTTACTTCTTACGAAAAATGATTTTGCTTCATGTCAGACATTTTGAGTTTTAGTTTCACTTGAAAAGCTCGCAAAATGCCCCCATTCTTTTTTTATTTTGGTTTGGAACGCACAACAACACACTAAAATCAAGACATTGAATGAAAATAAAAATGCATTTAAAGGTAAACTACGATAACTACTTATGCAAAGATATTGTCAGAAGCATATATTATCCCGTGCAGAACTATAATACTAGCAGATTTGGGCAGAAGCGAAGCCACAAGAAAGGGAGATTTTGCATGCAAATGAAAATATTTACTATAATATACAGTTTGCAGTAAAAAAGTATTACTCTCCTAGAATTTTGAAAGGTAGTTTCGATAAAAATCAATCTCCTGAACAGATCAATGAAACTTAAGAAATAGACTTGCATGTTATTTTGAATTTATATGGAACATATGCAAGTTCTTGGGAATGAACTCTAAATCTTCAAAGAGAAATGCAAAGCATAAACAAGCAATTAAATAGACCACAGATACAAGTTCGGGAACTTTGAAATGCAGGACACCTTTCAAAGCTTATGTTCCAATACTATAATTACCCATTTGCACTTGCTACGGATTTCGTTAAGTTATGAATTACAATTCACAAGTACGTGGGTAGCCAATAATACTGATTTAACCCTATGTAGCCATACACTGGGATAGAAATCCTATTCAAATTTTACAACTAAGTATTGACTATTTTTCTTAGATCCATTCTCTTTCGTCTTCTAAATCATAGATTCTCATCTACGTAACAAATGAAAGATCATATGGCCCTAGCACAACATTTGATGTGCTCGGATGTGTTTGTTCCTTCAAAGAGAAAAGCCATAGAAAAAAAAGGCATCAGTGAGATTATTCCGATAGCATTAAAAACTGTCATAGAATTCTCTTTAGTTAACACCTGTGTACTTACTACATAGTGCATTTTAACACCCGTCCCTACGGTTCCTCTCCAAGTACCGTTCAGTCCTCCAATCCCCAGCCTTAAAAGGGATTTTCAAGACTTACCCCTGTAATTTGCATGATGTTTTTGAAAACAGGCACACTCTTTTGGTTTAAAAAAAAAAAAAAATGCAGAGTGACCTCCAAAAGCACAAATCAGAGTTTACCTCAACTAATGTTTCAAGCTAAAACCAAATCATGTTCCCTACTTCATACATACATGTCTACGTAAATTTGCACCCAACAAAAAAGAGAGAAAGAAAAAAAAAAAAGGAAAAAAAAGTGAAAAAGCCAAATAGAGAGGTTAACATCAAAGAGGCAAAGATTAAGCAACATGGAAAGAGCTGAAGACACATAAGGAGTCAAACAAATCCTAAGAAACGACGTCGCATTAAAAATATATCACTATCATATCACCCTTATCTTCACCTCAACACTTAATCAGTAGCAACCAAACAAGATCACAGTTCAAAAGGAAGCAAGAAACCCAACCTGTCTTAAAACGACGTCTCTATGACCACTGGGTTCTTGAATCTCCACAATGCGCAATCCATTTCCTTTCTTCTTATCCTTCACATTCTCCTTCACCTTCTCCTTCTCCTTCTCCTTCTCCTTTTCCTTCTTATTCTTCTCAGCATCGCCACTTTCCACCTGAAAAGTGTACTTCCTCGCGCTCCCACTGTCCTCTCCTCTTCCCTTGATCTCAGCCGTCCATTTAATGTTCTTCGCCACACCCTTCAACTTCTTCTTCTTCTCTTCCTCAGCGATCTCCGCCTCCCATTTGTACTTCCTGTCAAACCCATTCTTCTCCGCTCCCTTGATCTCAGCCGTCCACGTGTACTTCCGATCGCCGCCACTCTTCCCGGCGAGGAGCCTGTCGAAACGCGACTCTAACTCCGCGACCCGATCGCACAGGCTCTGCAAGCACAACTCGGTACCGAGCTGCCTCTCGACTCGCTGAACTCGTCGGTACGCAAGCGACGGCGCGCGATTGATGCGTACCAGATCTGTGACGGCGTCGAAGGGGCTCGGAAGCAGGAAGTGGTCGAGGTCGAGGGCGAGTGAATCTTCAACAATGAAGGAAGGGAAAGTTAGGGTTTCAGTTAAGGAGAGTGGTGAAGAAGAGTAGCAGAAAGGTTCTTCGATGAGCTCAAATCGCCTGAATCGACTCATGGTTGGGTGAGTGGAATCGGTAGCAACTCGTTTGAGAATTGGAATAGAATATTTAGTTGCGATCCATGCCGATGTTGAAAGGGAAAGCGCTTAAAGCGATGGAAATGGAGAAGACGACAAACTAGTGAGGGGAACGAGGACAAGCTGGAGTGGAAATGATGAGGGTATTTCGGGAAATTCAAGTCATGAAAACGACGGGGTTATGCTGTTTTGTTATGACGGGTTAGGTGTGAACTCTGGGCGCCGCGCATTGAAATGACCAAAGTGGGGTCCTTCGTTGGATTAAATTACGGAGACACTCAGAATCTGCTTGCTTGTGCGATGCAGTGGTGCTTGGCCATGTGAGCTTTTCTGATATCTTGACCCCACCTCATTGGCACCATTTGACAAAATTTCATTCTTTTAAATTAAAGTTAACTTTACATGTAAATGTCACTCGTTGCTATCATAATATAAAAAGAGTAATATACATTTTCCAATTTTTCAAGCTTGGAGGGAAGTATTTCGGGAAGAAGAAGTCTTAGGTGCTCTTTGGTTTCGGTCTTTTCAATATTTACCTATCTATATGAATTAAGGTTTTGTTAAAGCCAACGTTTGTTTTGAAGGATTTTCTCCAAATAACCATCTATGTAAGTTGCATGTGTTTCACAACTTTGATTCAGAAACCAACGTTTTTGCACTGTTTAGAAAGCAAAGTTGCATGTGGTTTTTGATGAAAACCCGAATATGCTACTGTAGACACACTTTTTACACTGTTGATTTCATAAAGTTACTTAATTTTTTCAGTAAAGTTTTTCCCCACCAAACAACATTTTTTTACATTTTTCTACCTATCTCACTTTATCTATCTTTCCAATCATTTCTCTATCTATTACATTTTCCTACTATTCCAAAAAAAATTCCTCAACCAAACGTCCCCTTAGGGGTTTGATTATGTTCTGGTTTTTTTGTTCTTAAAATTGTTTTGTAAAATAGTTATGGAAACCGTTATTTTCTATATATTTTTCTTTTTAAAAGTTAAAAACCAAAACATAAAATAAAAACAACTCAGACATATTTTTTAAATTTGATTTTAAAAACAAAAAAATAGTTATAGTTTTCAAAATATTTTTTACAAAACAGGTCTTACCAAACGAGTTTTTTTGTTTTTTTGTTTTGAAAACTAAAAAACTGTTTTACAAAACAGAAATCAATCAGAGCCTTAATATCATGTGTATATCTTTGGAGTGTGAAAATTTACAGGGGAGAAGAAGAAAAAAAATATTGTCATTTAGTAATCACTTTTGTTTTATAAACTATATTATATTTCACTAGCATAAAGTTAACGAAATGTGCCCCCGTTACAGGTAACATTAGAGTGGAAACTTTGATAATTAGCTAGGAATTTTGCATCGATGTCGACTTTCCCAGCTCCCAACGGCTTGCACTTGCAGCTTGAGTGCTTGACAAATAATACTCATATAGTTAGTGGAATATAACATTTATTTTCCAAGGAATATCAATTATAAACCATATCACCATCCTTATTGTATTGTCGAAGTGAGTAAGTTACTTTAAATTTTATAAAAAACTAAATGTTTGAGCATCCAAATTTAGTAACGCACTTTTAGTACTACCGTCGTACTCATTACTAGGTGCGACGGTGATATTTATACTATATATTACCGATATAGTATATAGTATAAAGTATAAAAATTATTCTTTTATTTCTCTTTTCAATACAATAACAGCTGACGTAATGTATTTTTATTGATCCGTTGTACCTACACTCATAATATCCTAGATTTTTTGCAAATTTAGGCATTGATAGTGTGTTGCAGACCATGAATGGAATTTGGGTAGTTCTCCGTAGCTGAGATTTGGGCTATGCTGACAAAATGTTGCAATTCACTCTTAATATATTTTTTTCTTACATGTTGAGCGATGTGCATTTAAACATTCCACATAAGCATACTTCTACTATTATTATTGATCAAGGGAAGATAAATTAAGGTTCATGTTGGACGACCATTGATCATACAAATCTACATTTGATATGTAAAATATATGGAATGCAATAACACAATTCAAGTTGTCATACAGTAAAAGATTATGGACTACAAGAACTGGTAGATATATGGAGTGTCGTTTATTGGTTGTTTCAAAGGTCTAAAAGTACAAGCCAACAATTTTGTGAGTAATCTTACTTGATACTTGATTTCTTGAAAGATCCAAATTTCAAAGTCTTACAGTAAGTTCCAGAACAAGAAAGAAATTTTGGGTAAGATGAAAATGAAAATCATTCATTCATTCTACTGTTCAGATACAGAGAAAGCCATTATATAAGAGAACCAAAAAAAACATCAAAGTAGTGTTGATGCAAAGGTAAAGTAAACTAACTGACTATTCACCTAACATTTAAATATGGTAGCTAACTAGAGTTAAAATTACAGCAGGTTAAATAAAATACAAGTTTATTACTCCCCCTCAAGATGGACAGTCACTGCCATCTTGGACAGTAAAGAAAACAGAACAATCGAAGACAAAGGCTTTGTAAACAAGTCAGCAAGTTGATCTTGTGATTTAACAGGCATCAAACGAACCCTTCCAGAAGTTACTTGATCTCTAACAAAGTAACAATCAATCTCTATGTGTTTTGTCCTCTCATGAAATGTTGGATTTGAACCAATATGCATTGCGGCTTGATTATCACAAAAAAGTGAAGTAAGGGATGTAGAGGACAGACCAAGATCTGTCATCAGCTGAGAGATCCATTTCAATTCTGCAATAGTGGCAGACATAGCTTTATATTTAGCTTCAACTGAGCTTCTTGAAATAGTGGTTTGCTTTTTAGATTTCCAAGATATTAAGGAATCCCCCAGAAAAATACAAAAGCCAGTCATAGACTTCCTAGAATCCGGACATCCTCCCCAGTCAGCATCACTAAAGGCTCTTAGTTGAAGAGAAGATGATGAAGGAAAAAATAATCCTTGACCTGGATGACTCTTAAGATATCTTAAAAGGTGATGTGCAGCTTGTAAATGAGGTACTCTGGGTTGTGATATGAACTGGTTTAACCTATGTACAACATAGGTTATGTCAAATCTATAAAGAGTCAAGTATAATAGTCTGCCAATCAAGTTTCTATATTGAGAGCAGTCTTGGAGTAATTCTCCATCTGTGCTATTCAGGTTGGTCTTTGGATCCATAGGAATAGCAGCTGGTTTTGATGTCAAAAAACCAGTGTCCTCAAGGAGCTGTAAAGTGTAGTGTCTTTGAGACAATGTGATTCCTTTCTTGACTCTAGCAATCTCCAATCCTAAAAAGTACTTGAGATGGCCAAGATCTTCAAGTTTTAAATGAGAGTTAAGAAAAGACTTGACACTTTGAAGTAATGCAATAGATGGACCAGCTAGGATGATGTCATCCACATACACCAAAAGAACTATAAAATTGGAACCTGAACCTTTAGTGAAGAGGGAATAATCAGATTTTGATTGCTGAAAACCATGTGCAATGAGAGCTCCAGACAGCTTTGAGTACCACTGTCTAGAAGCCTGTTTTAGGCCATAAAGAACTTTATGCAATTTTCACACAGACTTAGAATCCTTAGACAAATGCTCCCCCTCAATGTGATAACCAATAGGTAGTTCCATGTAGACATCTTCAAAGAGGTCTCCATTTGAAAAGGTATTATTGACATCTAGTTGATAAAGATGCCAATTTTGAGAAGATGCAACAGCTAATAAGGTTTTCACCGTGACCAATTTAGCAACCGGAGAAAAAGTGTATATGAAATCAATACATTTTTGTTGAGTATATCCTTTTGCTACTAGCTGGGCTTTGTGCCTTTCCACGGAGCCATCCAAATTGAATTTTATTTTGTATATCCACTTACATCCAATAACATGCTTCCCTTTAGGCAAAGGAACAATTGACTAGGTCTTGTTGTCCTCTAAAGCTGAAATCTCAGCTTGCATGGCTTCACGACATTGAGGAAATTTACTGCTTGGTGGTAATATTGTGGCTCAGAATGAGAGGAGATGTTGAGAGCAAAATATTTGTGAGAAGATAACAGTCTGTCATAAGAGAGAACAGAACTTAAGGGATGCTGAACCGAAGGTTGAATGCTGGCATAGTTAGCCAATAAGCTACAATGATAATCCTTGAGATAGGTTGGTGATTTAGACGACCTTGTAGAACGTCTGGTAGTTATGGGAGTAGGATCAGGTTGGGTAACCTGAATGTGTGCAAAATCAGTACTATTGGGTTCATTTATAGAGCAAGAAATATCCTGAAAAGATGGAGATAGTGTAATATGAGGTGGCTGTGAGGACTGATTAAAAGCAAAATTGTCATTGATACATTTTATAACACTTCTGAGAGGTTACACCAGGTATGGAAGATGATCTAAATCAATGGCAACATTATCATGTTGATAAGGAAAAATATTCTCATGAAAAACAACATTTCTAGAGATAAAAACTTGGCCACTATCCAAGTCAACAAATTTGTATGCCTTCATGCCAGGAAGATATCCAAGAAAGATGCATTTGCGAGCCCTTGGCAGAAACTTTGTCCTATGAGCTGATAATGTGGAAGCAAAGGCAAGACATCCGAATACCCGCAATGTTGAGTAACCAACCTCCTTATTATATAGCCTTGAATAAAGAGATTGATATCCACGAATGGTTGAACCAGTCCTATTTATGAGAAATGCAGCAGGAAGGACACAATCAGACCAAAAGGTAAAAAGAATTCTGGATTGGAAATATAAAGCTCGAGAGACGTTGAGGATATGTTGATGCTTTTTCTCTACAACTGAGTTTTGCTGAGGCGTTTCAACACAAGCCCATTGATGAATAATCCATTGCTCTTGACAGAATTCTGTGAACGATAATTCTTTAGCATTGTCTGAACGAATCATCTTGATTTTCTTGCCTAATTGAGTTTGGACCATAGCAAAGAATTTAGGAAAAATTGTGGCAGCCTCACTCTTGGCTATAAGCAAGTAAATCCAAGTAAATCTAGTGTTATCATCAACTAATGTTAGAAAGTAGAGATGACCAGAGTATGAGGCAGAGTGTAAGAGTCCCCAAATATCACAGTGAATAAGATCAAAAGGAAAAGCTGACATATTATTATGTGAAACAAAAGGTAGACGTCTCTGTTTAGCAAGATGACAGATATAACAAGGCTTCTTATTTGATATAGACAAATCGGAACAATTCAGTGAACTTTTCATGTGAGATAGGCACTTATGAGATAAATGTCCTTACCTATTGTGTCAGATATCAAATGTAACAGCATTTACAG